AGAATTAATCGTAAAGATTAATGGGCACTATCCGAAATCGAAATTACTGTGATTAAAATCAAATAAATTAATATTCGGTAATCCTGATCCTTTTTCAAACTTGTTACTAACTATTCCGAGTGAGTTAAGACTTGATCACAATTCATACTTGAAAAGTCATGCGGCATGTTTCTCTACTCTTCTAGAATTCCTCCACTCTTGGGTTTTTGTCTTTATCTCAGGAATCTAGCCCTGACGACCCTTTTAGACCATGGATCGGCCAGAGTTTATTCTGTTTTGGCCATCCAATCCATGGCCCCCGCATGATACTCAATGCACGCAAGATAGATGTACACATCTTCCAGCTACGTGCATAACATGAGATAGCTCATGAACCCTCCTAATTACTTCAAATTCTTCGCCGCCAAGTACTTATTCTATTAACCCTGCTAGGCGGCTGATAAAATAAAAGTTAATTTTAATTTAATATTAAATTATATTAACTCTATTATTCTAGATTATCCCAAACTTTTTTATTGATAAGCTCTGCTAAAATAATAATTAATTTAATTTAAATGATTTATAAAAAATGATTTATTCAATATATTTAAAGAATAAATCTTCAATTACACTCAAGTTAAAATTTATATTAGGCTTGGTTTTAAATATTAAAGATACTTTTTGAATTTTTAGTATAAGAATTAATTTAAATTATTAGAAATTCAATAATTATTGTATAAAAAGAAAATGAATAGCATTAATGAATAATAACAAGATCTATGTGAGATTTTTACTTAAATTAAAGACATTGATGAAAAATTATTCATTTTTATAATTGAAATGTTTAAAAAGGAGAAAATTTTAGACATTATAGGATGTATTTCAATTGGCGAAAATCAAAGAGATTTTGAAGACTATATTTTACAAGGAATTAAATTAACACAAGTTGATAAGGAGTAGAAGTTGTGTGTTGTAAGAAATAACATTTAACAAATTATTAATGTATTAAAAAAAATAAAGAATCATTTCTTTAATAAAATAGACTATTCCACTTAAGGAAATTAGGAATCTAGGTAAGATCTAATGAAAAGAATAAGAGATAAAAAGTAGATCATAGAATTTTTGAAACTTTTAGTTCACCTTACATCCATAGAAAATACATTTATATAATGTGGGTCAAATTCTTTAAATTTATTAGTTGAAATGAAGGTTAACCTTACTAAATAAAATTTTGAAAATATTAAAATCTACAATACTTCTTTGGTGGGAGCTAATTTTGTAAGATGCAACCTGAGCGGGTCGGAATTTTTTAATGTAGATATTAGCGGGATGAATTTGAATGGTGCATAATTATTTAATTGTAAATGGAACAACATTAAAATACATGAATTAAATAAATTGGAGGGTCATAGATATGGAGTTAAATCAGTTTGCTTATCTCCTGATATTATTACATTAGCATCTGGTAGTTATAAAGAAATTTGTTTATGGAATGTGAAGACTGGACAATAAATATCAAAATTGGAGTGTCATGATGATTGGGTCAATTCATTGTGTTTCTCTAATGATAATACTACATTAGTATCTGGTAGTAGTGATAAGTCTATCCGTTTATGGGATGTTAAAACAGGACAATTAAAATGCAAATTAGATGGTCATATTGATGGAGTCCTATCAGTAATTTTTTCTCCTGATGGAGCCACATTAGCATCTGGGAGTTGTGATAACTCTATCCTTTTATGGGATGCAAACAAAGGACAATAAAAATCAAAATTGGTTGGTCATAGTAATTGGATTCAATCTGTATGCTTCTCTCATAATAATACTACATTAGCATCTGGTAGCAATGATTTCTCTATTCGTTTATGGGATGTTTAGACAGGACATCAAAAACTAAAATTTAGTGGTCACTAACATTATGTCATGTAAGTAAGCTTTTCTCCTGATGATACTACATTAGCATCTTGTAGTAATGATAAATCCATTCGTTTATGGGATGTTAAAACAGGACAACAAAAACAAAAATTAGATGGTCATGTTGATTAAGTCTTATCAGCATGCTTCTCTCCAGATGGTATTACATTAGCATCTGGTAGTTATTAAGAAATTCGTTTATGGGACGCGAAGACTGGACAATAAATATCAAAATTGGAGTGTCATGATGATTGGGTCAATTCATTATGTTTCTTTAATGATAGTACTACATTAGTATCTGGTAGTAGTGATAAGTCTATCTGTTTATGGGATGTTAAAACACAACTATAATTGCCAAAATTGGATGGTCATACTAATTAAATTTCCTCGGTATGCTTTTCTCCTGATGGGATTACATTAGCATCTGGTAGTGAAGATAAATCTATTCGCCTATGGGATGTAAACACAGGATAATAAAAAGCAAAATTAGAAGGTCATACTAATTAAGTTTGGTCTGTATGCTTTTCTCCTGATGGGATTACATTAGCATCTGGTAGTAATGATAGCTCTATATATTTATGGGATGTATAGACGGTACAATAAAATTTTAAATTTGATTGCAATAATCGTTATCTCTATTCAGTATGTTTCTCATCTGATAATACTACTTTAGCATCTGGTAGTGCTGATAACTATATTTATTTTTGGGATGTTAAAACCAAAAAAAAGATACTGAAATTGGATGGTCATACTAGTTGTGTAAATTCCGTCTGTTTTTCTCCTGATGGTACTATTTTAGCATCTGGTAGTGCAGATCATTCTATTAGCTTATGGGATGTTAATAATGGAAAATAAAAACAAAAATTGTATGGTCATAGTAATACTGTCCTATCAGTGCACTTCTCTCCTGATGGTACTAAATTAGCATCAGGGGGTAATGATAACTCTATACGTTTATGGGATGTTAAGTCAGCACATTAAATACAAAAATTCGATGGGCATAGTAATTGTATCAATTCAGTAAGCTGCTCTCCTGATGGTACTACATTAGCATCATGCAGCAATGATTACTCTATTCGTTTATGGGATATTAAAACAGGACAATAAAAATCAAAATTAGATGGTCATGAATAAGGTGTCAATTCAGTATGTTTCTCCCCAGATAGTACGACATTAGCATCAGCTAGTGCAGATAACTCTATCCGTTTATGGGATGTCACAACAGGATAATAATATCCAAAATTGCATGGTCATAATCTTTAAGTGTGTTTCTCCCAAGATGGTACTACATTAGCATCTCGTAACGATGATAAATCTATCCGCTTATGGAATGTTAGTACAGGAGAAGAAATTCTAACTACTGATAAATTTTATCAAAATACTCTAGCCTTATTTAAAACACCGCTCTTGTTTAAAAACAATCCTCTTCCAGAAGATGGTATTTATTTTTCAATTTTCTTTAGTAAACACTAATATTACTATTCTCCGTATATCCCAAAAGGCAATATTTTAAGCATAAGGAGCCTTTGTTCTCAAAGGAGAATTTGTGAATTATTAAGGTGTAGATTTACGATCATTATTGAAATCTAAAGGAAGTTATATTTTGGAAAGTTAAATAGAATAAAAATAAAAATGATATTAAGTATTTTATAAAACATTACAATTATTTTTCTGGTTTTTTTTAACAATCTTATATTTAAAAATCCCCCTTTTCTTATGTATAAATTAGATTCTGGAAAATTGTTAATTGCTATTACAATAATTTATTTTTAAATATAAGAATAATACTTCTTTTAGTTATATTACATTTAAAATACTATTCGAAAATAAATTTCACCATGAAACAGAAACTATGTATTATTCAGAAAGAACAAAATCAAATTGAATTATTTCAATCAATTTGATTTTTAGCAAAATTTAGATTATAATATCTTATGTGAAATTTAACGAATATCATTCATTATAAAATATTAATTAATTTGGAAATTTAGTTCTACAACAGAGTCATTTATTGGGAGGAAATCTGTATAATAATTATTTTGAACATTAAGGTAGTAAGAAATCAAATAGATTAACTGTTAAGCCAGTTATTTCTTTAAAAATAGAAAATGGGTATATCTAAATGGAAACATTTTTTCTTTTGTTGAATATTCTTGTAAGATGTTCTCATTCAATTAAGATTCTATTTATCTGTTAATTTTTAGTGATAACTAATGATGATAACTTGATTAAATATTTGAAATTGATGAAGACGCTTAAAAAGATAGTACCAAAGAATGAGAACAAAAAAGAGAATGAGTTTACGATCTTGAATGAAGTGAACTAATTATAAGTAAAAGTAATTTGAAAATGATATTGAAGAATATGAAAATAATAAAATATTGATCTTCCTCAAATAATAATAAAGAATTCATTTAACGAGAAATCTCAAATGCATGTCTGCTACCTAAGTTTAACCAAAACTATTATAATGTATGTAGAATAACTTTTGAATAAAACAAAATAAAAAAGTATAACAAATGACTATCCATTAAAATTTGAATGAACCTGATAGAATAAAATTTTAATTTCATAAGTTAAGAATATTTTTGGATTTTCAATAATTATATTTATGAAAGGCATATTCCTCAAACAATTATTTCACTTTCTAAGAAAGATGTTTTAATATTTTAACTAGAAATCTATAGAATAAGTTTATCTATACTTATTCAATAAAGGATGGAAGAGTATATATATATTTTTACACTTTTGAACAAAAGCTTAAATGTATATCAATTAAATAATATTTTATCAGGCTCTATTCAGTATATATGAATTGAAAATATATAGTTAATAGAGATTTTTATATTTTTTATTTAAAACTTTGCTGGTGTTTCTATTTTATATTGTAAAATATTAATAATTTGAATTATTTGTATATTAAGCCTTTCCAAATAGAAATATAGTTAAATTATATTCAATTTTTAATTTATTAATTCAAGTATCATTCTGTATAAATTTATTCATTTGATTATTTTGAATATAAATTTTAGCATATTTTTTCATGAATGGCAATTATAAATGCTCACATAAATTTTATTCTAATTTTAATTGTTTATTATTTTTTAACTTAACGTATTATATTCAAGTATATACCCATGTACCAAATTTCTTTCCATATCTATATTCAACATGAATCACCTAAGACCGTTTATCTTAGCCATCACTCAACTCCATCCAATAACCAATCTTAATTCCTTTACTCTCTTCATCAAATAATCCACCACCCCTAAACAAATTATTTCAAAGAGTACATTAATTTTCCCTCATTCATATTATTCACCTACAAACTTTCTATCCATTTCTATAAATGTCATCATTAATTCCATTAAATAAGAATTTAAACCCTTCTATCAATTCAATCCATCTTCCTTTTTTATTCCAATCACCTTTTTCATTATATGGACCACCATCGCTAAAAGTATAGTTTCTTATTTATACTAATAAAAAATTATCTTTACGTATTATTTTTCCGAATATGAAATCCTATTTTCCTACTTTTATTCTTATCTTATATTAACCAACATAAGTGACTTAAAAATATGTCACTCAGCTCAATCCATATACTCATTTTTATTTAACCTCTTTCATAAATAGAATCCAACACTACTAAATATATTGTATTTTAATATCAAATAATCCAATCTAACATTTAAATATTTTTTCCATCCCAATACCAATAAAATTCCCACAGACCAAACTTTTTACCGAATTCATACTCACTATTTAAATGATTTATGAAACAAAATAGAAACCATCACTCTTTTCAATCCACTTCCAAGTTTTACTCCAGCTGAAATGATCAACTGCCACTGTACTTATATATATTTAACTTTTTTTTATTCAAACTAAAAAAAAATTCGATTGACCAACTTTCAACCCATTTATATACTCAACTGCAAAGGTAATTTTTGAATAATCCTTTAACCAATCAATCAACTCAGTCCAACTAACCTAAACTCCTTCATCATATTAACTACCACCAATTAAAATAATGCATTATTCAGATTTTACATAATTATAAATTATTAATTCTCTTATATCAAAATATTCCATCTACCACATTTTAACGATTTTTATAATCGCCATTTTAAATAACTTATTAATAATCTCCAAAGCTAACACCCAACTCAACCCAACTACCAATCAAAATTTCTTTCTTAATTTAATCCACTAGTATTTACATTTATTATAATTTTCATCCTCAAGAAACTTCATAAACCATTTAGCATCTTTTTTACCATTTTTATATTCACCATAATAAATGGTTTGTGAATCTGAAGTAAACAGATGACTTAGTTTAATCCAACTCCCAACTTTATCTTCTTCATTATATTTTCAACCACCACTAAATGCTTGAATATACAATATTTACATCTTTTTAATATTTCCTTTTCCTTTTTGTTAAAAACTACCCAATTTTCAACTCTTTTCCATTTTAATATTGGGCATCATAGATAATTTAGTTCTAATAATCTAATCCTTCACCTAACTAAATCCACCTACCAATTTTAACTTCATCATTGTATTATCCACCACCACTAAAATTTTGGTTTAATAACATAAATATTTGCTGAAAATCTTTATCCTTTTTATATAAAATATCCCGCATACCAACTTTTTGACTATTTTTGTACTCACCTTAATAGATTATTTCCTTCCTATATCTAAATGAATCACTCAGCTCAATCTATTTACCATTCTTCTAACTTAATTAGTTGTATACTCCAAATGCTGTATTCAATTGAATATAATTTTAACTATCTACTTATTTCCTTCCAAAAACCCTATTTTTTCTCCTCACTAGAGTACCAGCCACCAACATTGTTTAATTTCTCTCCTGCCCAATTTACAGACCATTTACCAAACTTCTAATTATTCTCTCCATGTATTCCTGACCATTAAAGATTTTTAATTTATTATAAATTAGTCAAAGCATAGTTCCTATTATATATGCCTTTTATTTTTTCGCTATTATTAAAAGAGATTAAAAATGTAGTACATTCTTATTATTGAACAATCTCTTGAATATGTTAATTCTTCATCCTTTGTTGATGATATTATTTTGATTTGCCTTGGTGGTTATTTTGAATAATCCCAAACTAAGCTATTAAATTTTTAATAATAAGACTATTAGTTGATAATTAATGCATTATGCAAATAGATAACATGATTGAAAACATAAAGGTAACAGCAAATGTTGTTTATTTAAAATCTTAAAAGGGTATTTAGTTAATATCAAAATAAAAAGGTATTTGAATTGTGATTAATTATCATAGTTAGAAATGTTAAAAAGTTTCTAATTAGGATTAAATCTAAAACTAAATTACCTAATTCAAGAATTTAATTTTGAATTTATGAAAGATTTGCATTGAAAAAGAATTAATCACTGAAGTTTTAATATAATCCTTCTTAAAATACGATATTTTGAAATTGTTTAAAATTAGGCTTATTATATTTATTTATATTTTATTTGATTTTTTAAAACAGCAACTCCCAAAAGCTAATTATTAATTTAATACTATTTTCATGATTATTGAAAAAACTAAACTGAAAATGAAGTAAAATATTAAATTTGTATAATGAATTTAATTAATAAATAATCTCTTTTATCAGTAATATTATAAATAGAATCCTTGTATTAAATCGATTTTATCAAATATAAATTTAAATATCAGATTTAATTTAATCTTTTTACAAGTTCCCGCTGTCCTTTAAGGTGCATCACAAGGAGTGATCTCAGAGGCTTTTAAGTTAAATTCTTAGAGAAGTAACATATGCTGATGCCAGATGCAATGCGATAAAAATGCAAGTTGCATCTTTGGAAAAAATTTGTGCCTCTGACCTCATATATTTATTAGCAAGGTTTATAAGATTTTAAAATATCTACCTTAAAAATGATATCTAAATCTTTAATTTTTATAATTAATAAAATTTACTCAAAGAATCATTTTTATTGTTTTTTTATTTTTCTTTATATCAACTAATGTCATCATTTCACTATTTTTGTTTTACATTATAATTTATTTATTTTTTATTTAGTATTATATTTTAATAATAAAAAAATATTTAATAGGCAACTAGATTTCAAAAATTGATAAAATAATGAAACTATTTGTTAAATAATTACTATTTTCATCAATCATTCTTAAAACCCAATAAAATTTTAATTTATTGCTTATTTATATACTATTAGTGATAACTATAGAATAATTATTCATTATTAATAACATTTGAAAAATAAAAGATATATGAATAAATTAGAAGGATTTTAAAATTAGGATTGCCAAACAGCTATAGAAGAATGCTTCAAAGAGGTATAAACCAAAATTGAAGTATAATAGTTAATCTATAAATTTAATAGTCTTCATTCAATAATATCTATATTGATCTGGATTCACTTATAAATGAGATTTTTGATGTACTGAATGATAAATATCAAAAGTGTATTTAAAGATCTCCATCCTTAATAAATTTGCCTTAGATTAAATTGGAAGACTATAATATTTTTTAATAGATTTGTTAAGACATAATATCAATAATCAAATCTAAAATTAACAATTAAGTATTACTTAAAGAAAAAGAAAAAGAACTTTTAATAAACATGAGTTTAAAATGTGAACAATAGATGATAGAAATTTTACAATAATTGGAATAGAAATCAAATGAAAAGGATATCTTATTAGAATAATAAACTTTATAAATACAATAACTAAATACTCAATTAAATATTCAACAATCATCAACTGTAAAATCTACTCATACTTAATCCAAACCATTCAATTATTAAATTATAAAAGAATTTTCTATTTCAAAAAGTTATTAATGTTATGCTTTAGCTATTGATAATGATTGTTCAACATTGGTGGCTGGATGTTATTCAACAATCAAAGTATTTGAATTCAACTAAGGAGTCATCAAATAAATTTAAACTTTAAATGAACATAAGAGTTTTGTATATACTTTAAACTTCATGAAGAAATCGAAACATTTCTTATCTGGAAGTCTTGATTCTTCTATCATAATATGGAAATACATATAAAATAATTTATGGAGTTCATAATAGATATTATATGGACACAGTAATTAGATCAATTGTTTAGTGATAAATAAATATGAAGATCTAATTATATCAGGGAGTAATGATAACACTATTAAATTTTGGATAAACAAGAATGAATGGTTGTGTTAATAAACAATTGCTGATCATTCTAGTTCTGTATATGGATTAGTTTTAAATTAATAATAAAATAGAGTAGTATCATGTGGACATGATAAAGTTATATTAATAATAGAACAATCAGGATAGAATACAGAATGGAAAGTAGTATAAAAGATGAAAGTTGATTAGTTTGGATATCGAGTATGCTTTATTGATAATAATATGTTCACATTCTCATAAGGAGAAAAAGAATATATATCTGTTTTTGAGATGAATACTATCAATAAATTGTTTACAAAGACAAGAGATATTAATATAAAGTCTGGATCTGATAGTGGTAATTGTTTGTTTCCTTAACAATATATAAATGGGAAATGCATCCTATTGAGTAAGAATGGTCAATACATCAATTTGATAAGGAAAAAATAAAATGGGGAGTTGCTAACTGAATAATCTATTCACTTTGGAACTAATTCTTTATTTGGAGTAATGAGTGATGATGGTGAGTATTTGATTACTTGGGATGAAAAATCAAAGTAAATATAGATAAGAAGGTATAAAGAATAATGAAAATTATTTAGATTTAATTTAAATATTATTTATGATATAGATAAAAATTTGTTTGGTTTTCACTTTAAATTATTTGAGTTTAGGATTCAGTTTTATAATCTATAATTTTTGATGCTTATTAGCCATTTAAGAATCCAATTATATGGAGAAATTAATATTTTTTTTATTTAATTATTCTTTTTTTTGAAAATAATAAAGATTTTAGATATCAATAGTTTTCCTAATAAATAATTTATAAAATCCATTTCCAATATTTGAATATCATTTTCTAATGACCATTTTTTTGTTTCATCAGAGTATCATTTATACAATTTAGGTTATTAGTTTCATTTAATTTACCTCCAGCGCTATTCATAATTTTTCTTTCCATGAGACTGTCCATTTAATACTTTTTCTATTTATTTTTCCGGTGATGTCCAATCTATATCGGTTTACTTTTTTAATCTAAATTATTTAATAAATCCTGCATTTTAGAAGTGCCTTTAATAGTATCCCTATTAATTTTTGATGAATTTATATCTACTAATTGATCGTAACTGATTTAAAATTTTTTAAAAATTATTATTCCAAATATAATTTTTAAGATCAATTGTTACAGCCAAAAATTAATATTCTCCATTTTAAAATAATTATCAAACATTTAAATCTAGCTCTATTTTTATTCAAGTTTGCTTGACCAATTTCACCAAAACTTTGTGGAAATCAAGAGTTTTTTTCCTTCTATAATTTCTGTTATTAAAAGTTTCTCAATTCTTGGAGTAGCTGTTGTATTTTTCAATATCATTTTTTGATTGAATTCGTAAGTCCATTTTTAATAAATAATTGATTTCATGACTCAGGCCCATCTTAAAAACATATAAATATTATGCGACACAATGGGCTAGTTTAATAGGTAAGAGATCTCTATATTATAAAAAGTAAAACCGTATATAAAGACCAAAAAATAAAGAACTATTACTTCTCCTTTACATTTTATAGGTGTATTATAGGGAAATGTTAGAGTAATTGAATTTGGCCTACTTTTGGAGTTGAAATCATAGTAAACAGAATAGATAATTCCAACTGATCTCTCGATTATTCTCCTAAATTTCTTATTTTGTCTTTTTTTATTATTTCCGGTAGCAGTTTTAAATAATTTCATTTATATTTATACCTTAATGTTGTAGTCTCGCTTTTTTTTCTTATTACCTAATCCTTATCAAAGATATGGGGTTTAGGTCCCTACATTAATTGAACTCTAAATATATTTGATTATAAGAAGCTTAAATAATTAAAATTTTTTAACTACAAATCCTAAGTAAAACCATTATGAATTTCTTTATTTTAATTAATTTCGATTTCATTTAATTATTTATGTTTAAGTGATTAGGTTGAAGAATTTTGCTTTAGTAACAGCCTGCACAATACAATAAAGAACAGCTAACTTCTTTTATGAAGGAAAAATTAGTAAGTAAAACTCTTTTATTTGAGCTAATTCCATCTCAAATTTTTAGAATACTATTTTTAATATAGGCTTTAGAAGGAAAAGATTATTAATTTCAAAATTTAAACTAATTAATATCATCAAAAATGAATTTAAAAATTAGTTTAAAGAATAATAATAAATTAAAAAATTTCCATCTATTTATATAAACTGACTCGAAATAAATGCAACTAGCCTCTGTTTTCTAAAAATAAAAAATTTGATTATATCATTAAATTATTTCTTTTATTATTGGATAATTTGTGTTATACTGTTTTCTAGATTGTATAAAAACTCAAAATTTCTTCAAAAGATCAAACAATATTTCAATGAATTTTAAGATACATTATATAAAGATGAAGACTTTGATTTGCTATTTATTATCGTATTAATTATGCTTTTAATTAATATTAATTCAAAAAATTATTTATCTTAAAAAGGCTTGAATTATTCATTAAATATTTGATTCCTTATTATGAAAAATGCTTGTATTTTAAAAAGGAGATAACTTAAAATAAATAAATAATTCTATTCGGAATTTCTTTTTAGAAGTACTATAATAATATTAAATATTTAATATAGATCTATTTCTATTAACTCAAAGTTTAATAGTAGAATAATGATAATTATTATTTATTTTCCATTAATTATTATAGCTATCAAGTTTATAATTTTTTTAATCTAGCAAAGATGGAGAGTTTTATAAAAAGTGTTTTTGGCTAAAGTACTGAATATAAATCTATTATTCATTATTGTTATGAATAAAATATTACTTCTATTTCTAATCTAATTATTGAATTAGAATTAAAATATTAAAAGACTTTGAGTGATAGAGAAAATAATTTAATAGCTTTATATAAGTATATATATGTCTACTACATTATGAATGAAATGATAGCTAATGAAACACTTTTAAAATTAATAGATGAATTACATGTAGAAGACATAGAATCATTTTTGAAATCAGATTAATAAATTACTTAGAAGTATTAATTAGTAAAGGATCAAAATGTATATGGATTGATAAGTGTATTAGAAAATGAACTTGGGGTTGATAAAACTTAGATTTTGAATGTAGCATGGAAGTTTAAGAAAAACTTAATCCTTACTCGTTATAATTTAACATTTATTACTAAAGAATAAGCACTTGATTATCATATATCATATTAAAAGTTTTTAGAATGGAAAACAAAACCTGAAAATCAATCCTATTAACCATTTTTTAAAATTAAAATAGAGTTCACAAAGCCATAAATTGTATTTAATTAAGATAAAGCTTATTAGTTTTATTAATAAAATACAAGCCAATCGACAACAATATAGAATAACAAATTTATAACATTTTAATAATCATAAAGTAATACATAATATCAAAAAGAAGTAAACTAAATTAAATTTGCATCACCTTATAATCCTATTCAGAATTAACAATAAATTCCTTTAAAGTAACAGTCTATTAATTAACATTCAATGTTTTAATCTCCTTAATTTTCTAATTTATACTTTAACCCTAAAGCTATTAGTAATAATCATTCACAATCTATACCTTGTTTAAAAAATTAATAAGATTAATCCTTCCTCATTAATAAACTAAAGATTTAATAATTTAATGTTTAACCTAACAATTTTAGATTTAATACTTTTTATAATCTTAAAACATAAAATGAAATTAAAAAATAATCTTTTCCGTAGAATTATTTAATAGAAAAAAAATCAGAATTAGAGCTTTCAAAAGAGCTCCCAGGCTAGAACAATTCAAAAGAATTGGAAAAATCATACAGAAAAACAAACCTGGAATAATTAGCATAAAATTGCATTTTGTTAAAGGAGATAAAAGGTAAAAAAGTTACTTTATAAATTCGAAAATATCCTCAATATACTTAAAATGAATTATAAGATATTAATTTAATGAAAACAATTATGATTATTGGTGAAACAGGAGTTGGTAAATCAACTCTCATAAATTTCTTTTGCAATTTTTATATTGGTGTTGAATTTGAATTTCCATTTAGGTTCTATTTAGTTGATGAAACCAATGAAACTGTTTTCAAATAATCTTAGGCAGTTAGTAAAACTTCAGAAGTTATAAGTTATTATTTAAAAGGCTCAAATGGTAAACCACCTTTAAGGATAATTGATACTCCAGGATTTGGAGACACAAGAGGATAAAATTTTGATAAAATTATCTCAGAAAGAATATCAGACTAATTAAAAGAATTAGAATAATTGAGCCTTATTTGTTTTGTAATTAAATCAAGTCAAAATAGATTAACTCTTGATTAAATTTATATTATGAATAGCTTATTACAACTTTTTGGTAAAGATGCTGTAGAGCATTTCATGTTTTTATTTACATTTTCTGATTTTGAAGAGCCATCAGCCTTGTAAGCTTTGCTTTTTGAAGGAAATTCAGTATATCAAGGTAGTCCTTTTGCTAATATAGTACCTAAAATTGAAGCTCCATTTTGGTTACAATTTAATAATTAGGCATTCATAAGTTTAGAAAGGAAAGAATTTATTAAAAATTCATGGAATGATACCTTCTAATAATTTTAAATACTATATTTAAACAAAATTTGCAAAAGTAAATTTCTCAATTTAACCTTGACCAAATAAGTTATAGAATAAAGAAAATAAATTATGGATATAATTGAGAAATTAAAAAAATAAATTCAATAGTCAATGAATTTAATAAATGAAATTAATACTGCTTCTAATATAAATGAAATCCTAAAATCTGAATAACTCTAATCCAAAACATTTTGTGGTTCCCTGATCAAAGAATTATTGCTTACTATTAATAAGTTTAATTAAATTGCTTTGTAACCATTTACCAAAGATTTTTAAAAAGAATGTCTGGATATTTTAATAAAAGAGGAGGATGAATAAAAGAATGATGGTTATTAAATGCGAGTTTTAGGTTTATAAGATATCAAAGAATTATGGAATTCATATTTAATTTAATGATATGAAAGTAAATTAATTATGAATTTTAAATTAATATTAAAAATTCAAAATATGAAGTTTTTAGATATTTGGATCTATATTCAAAACTATTCTAAAATTAATGGTTTGATTTTTAATTTTATTAAAAAATGTATTTCAATTCATTTTATTTTCTAAATATGAATTTGATTAGTTGATGTATAATAATTCATTTTTAATTTGTAATTTATTTTTTAGAAAAAGTTTTTTGTCAAAATGAGAACTTCAAATTTTAATGAATAAAATTAATTTAAATTTATGTGTAGTTAAATAAAATTAAAGATTTCGTAAAGTTTTATTCTCAAATGAGAGTATTCTTTTTTCATTAGCAACAAATATTTTAATGAATATAATCATATATTATTTTTATCTTTAATTTTATTGTGAAAAAAATCCATCTTGAACCATTTAATTTTTGATCAGATCTCCTGATCAAGTACCCGCCTTATTCATGGGAGGGCAATTTTACAGCCCATTACAAACTTTTTGCTAGGCTCTGGACAACCTGTGTGAATTTTGTGCACTAAGTATCTCCAAATTTTATGTAATATCTAGAATCAAGGATATCCTGAAAGGCATGAACCGATATCTGACGAAAATTAATCTAATTATCTGATCCCCTGATTTAAATCCAGGGTTGAGTCAAGGGAAAGGAAGATAGAATTAGAACCAACAAGAAAAAGAATTAGACAGCTCTTATCAGTAATTCCTCATGCACGAAAACACATATTAAGGCTCTAGTTAACAACTTGAGCCAAAACGATAGAAGCCCGATCCATAGGATAGTAAATTAAAAAAAGAAACTGAAAAAACCCAATCTTAGAGTATTAGCAAGTGACCCCGTTATACGATACTGAAACACCTCCTTTAAGCGTTGGCATTGTCAAAAGGAGTATAAAATCTGAAGTTATACACCAATCATTTGTACCAGATGCAAAAGAAATTATACCTAGAGGTTTTTCCCCCTATATCGGCAGCCAAAACTTTTGAAACCACTGACCTAGCCCTCAAGACATTCTCGTCTAGAAATTTTTAGACATTTGGATAATAACATAAAAATATCAAAATTAATAAGAGTAATTGATTATACAAATGTCTAAAAATTTCTAGACTAGAAAGAGGAAGAATCTGATAATCCTCAACAGATTGAAAAGTAACCGAGATATCTGTAAAATTAATCATTTTCTTAAAATAAATAAATATTATCATTCATATTGATATTGATAATAGAATTAGGCTAAATAAATGATTCAACTATATTTTTAATCTTCAATTATCAATTCTTTCTGTGATGAATAATTTTGAAGGTTATCATCTGCTATATAAATATCAGAATTTTATAGGAATTTATTTATAGTTATAAAAAATCTGATTTAACATTTCAAAAATAATTAGAAATGAAAAAAACTAAAAGTAAGAGGGACATAAAGATAAATTCCAAAAAGATTAAAAAGATAAATAACACTTAAAAGAATATTAAATAAAAATGGCAAAAATGCACATTATGGCCAAAAGAGAAAATAAATGGGGCTGCGGAAATAAGTGAATTTGATGATGGCTCTTTTTCAGTAGGACTGCATGAATCTGGTGACTATAGTTAAATTAATGACTATGGTAATTGTGATAAGAATATAAATAAGGTATGGAAGTANAGAATCAAGGATATCCTGAAAGGCATGAACCGATATCTGACGAAAATTAATCTAATTATCTGATCCCCTGATTTAAATCCAGGGTTGAGTCAAGGGAAAGGAAGATAGAATTAGAACCAACAAGAAAAAGAATTAGACAGCTCTTATCAGTAATTCCTCATGCACGAAAACACATATTAAGGCTCTAGTTAACAACTTGAGCCAAAACGATAGAAGCCCGATCCATAGGATAGTAAATTAAAAAAAGAAACTGAAAAAACCCAATCTTAGAGTATTAGCAAGTGACCCCGTTATACGATACTGAAACACCTCCTTTAAGCGTTGGCATTGTCAAAAGGAGTATAAAATCTGAAGTTATACACCAATCATTTGTACCAGATGCAAAAGAAATTATACCTAGAGGTTTTTCCCCCTATATCGGCAGCCAAAACTTTTGAAACCACTGACCTAGCCCTCAAGACATTCTCGTCTAGAAATTTTTAGACATTTGGATAATAACATAAAAATATCAAAATTAATAAGAGTAATTGATTATACAAATGTCTAAAAATTTCTAGACTAGAAAGAGGAAGAATCTGATAATCCTCAACAGATTGAAAAGTAACCGAGATATCTGTAAAATTAATCATTTTCTTAAAATAAATAAATATTATCATTCATATTGATATTGATAATAGAATTAGGCTAAATAAATGATTCAACTATATTTTTAATCTTCAATTATCAATTCTTTCTGTGATGAATAATTTTGAAGGTTATCATCTGCTATATAAATATCAGAATTTTATAGGAATTTATTTATAGTTATAAAAAATCTGATTTAACATTTCAAAAATAATTAGAAATGAAAAAAACTAAAAGTAAGAGGGACATAAAGATAAATTCCAAAAAGATTAAAAAGATAAATAACACTTAAAAGAATATTAAATAAAAATGGCAAAAATGCACATTATGGCCAAAAGAGAAAATAAATGGGGCTGCGGAAATAAGTGAATTTGATGATGGCTCTTTTTCAGTAGGACTGCATGAATCTGGTGACTATAGTTAAATTAATGACTATGGTAATTGTGATAAGAATATAAATAAGGTATGGAAGTACAAGAGCAAGAGGATTATGAAGGTGCCATTTTATATTTCAACAAAGCAATAGAATTAGCTCCAGAAAAAGATTAAGCGTATTATTTGAAAAGTAATTCTCATCAGCTATTAATTAGGTGTTTCATTAAATAAATTAAATCAATTAGAAAAGGCATTAAAATATATAAAAAAAGCCTTAGAGATAGATCCTATTAATAAAAAATCTATAGAATTATAAAGTATAATCATACATAGTTTATTAGGTAAAATCTTAAAATAATTGAAACGTTAAAGGAAATACATTTAAGAAGATGATAAAATATAGAAATAAAATGAAAATTTAGTAAAGACTCTTTTAAGAAAAGGAAATGCATTATTGAAAGATAAAAAATTTATAGAATCAATCTCTTTTTTTGATAAGGTTATTAAAATAAATTCAAAAAATGAAGAAGCCCTTGAATATAAAAGTATTAAAATAATTGACTTTAGTATAAGCATTATATGATTTAAATCAATATGAAAAATGCATTAAATTAGTAAATAAGGCAATCTAATTAAATCCAAATAACAGTTAATTCTACAACTTATAAGGTATAAAAAGCATATATTGTAGGTTGTGCATTATCTGAAATGAGTCTTTTAGAGAAGGCTTCAGCTTCATTTTAATAAGCAATTTTCCTCAATCCAAATAATGAATCTGCATATTTTAATCTAGGTATACAACAATTAAAAAATAGCAAATTTCTTACATGAATAAAAATAATTTAAAGATTCTATTTCATATTATGATCAAGCTATTAAGCTCAATCCAAATAATAGCAAATATTATTTGAAAAAAGGTTGAATTATTGTAAGCTTTAGGTTTTAGTTTATAAGACAATTATTAATTTGAAAAAGCTATTACGTGTTATAATTAAATACTTAATCTTGATCGAGATCGTTATACTGAAGAGTTATTACTCCTAAATAAAGGTAACTTAAAACTGAAATTTTTAGGTGCATCATTAGGTGCAATAAACCGTTATGAAGAGGAATTAGCTTGTTATGAAAATTTGATTCTAATCAATCCTAGCAATGATGAAGCTTATTATCTTAAAGGTATATTATCAAATATATGATAAGCTAAAACCCTATTGCATTTAAATGGATTTAGAAAATCATTAGAGTTCTTTGAAAAGGCCATAGAATTAAATCCATAACATGTGTATGCAAAAAACTGTAGAAGTAATGTTAAATATAAAAAGATAGATTATGTTCTAAAACATTTAACACTATTTTAAAAATCTAAAAATAGTTCCAAAAAGCTGAGTTCTTGTAAAAGTAAAAAGAAAAAATGATATCATTTATAAGATATATATTATAGAATAAAAAACTATTAATGTTATTCTTGAATAGTCATTCATAAATAATAAAATTGTTAGCAATACTTAATCTACATTGGTTTAAAAAATGAAATAATTTATTAAAAGAGCAAATAATTAGTTTCTTTCTTATTAATTAAATAATAACACATAAACTAAGGATTTAAGATTAACAAATGTTAAAGGACTATAAATATGGTCTCTTATCAACAAAATTTAATTGTCATTTTATTGGAAATAATATTTTCAGATATTGCTAATTCAAACTGATAGATTAGATGGGATCATCTATGTTGAAGAAATTACAAAATAATAATAATGAATATCATTATAAGATTTATGAATTATACCCTTTGTTCTAGTATCTTTGATATGATCTTTATATTATAACAAAAAAATAATACATATGATTAATAGAATCATGTTTTTAGATCTTAAGTAGATGAGGTTAATCAGAATTCAGATTTAATAGCAAAATATAAAAAGTTAATCAAATTTTAGATCAACTGAATAGTAAAAATAATTTAATTTTATCTCTTAAAATAAATCTAAAATAATAAATTAAATAATATCAAGATTTTCTAAATAATAAATATAAATCTGATTAATGACTTCCAAAATGCTGTTGCTTAACATAATAATTTAAATTTATGTCAATTATAAAATTAATTAAAACATTAATAATTTTAACTCTATCGAATTGAATTAATATTTAAATAAAGGAATTACCAACTAAAAATTATAAAATATGATTAAATTTTTTGTTTGCTAAAAATAAAAGACTATGTATTTAAAAACAATTGATAATTTTAAGAATACTCTAGTTATATTTTTTTTATTATTTTTCAAAAGGATCATTTTACTAAAAAATACATATTGAAATCTAAATTTTTTTTAGGGAATCTTTAATATTCCTAAGCAGGGTTTAATCCTAATTTATTTGGTTTTGAGTGCCAATCATTATTTTCCAAAATAAAAGAAAAAAATATATGAAAAGTTATAGAAATCTACTGAAAAGTAATCATAATAAATGTATAGAATACAGATATATAAGATCAGAGACTATCTATTTAGACTTTAGGATAAGAAATTAAAATTAATCCTTCATTCCAATTATTGATTTAGAATAGTTAGAACATCGTTAAATTACCTTTATACATTTATAATATTAATTCTATATATGCTTTACTAATTAATAAATATAAACACAAAGAAATCAATTAAAAAAGAACTAATTAAATATTACTAATCAATACTTTCAGAATAAAATAGACTTATTTTATTAACTCATTTTGTCAACAATCTTATTTTTATCTATGTTATGATTATTTGATAAAATTGAATAATTTGATAAATATTTCTAAAACAATTCAAATAAATTTATTCCTGTTTGGATGGACAAATTAATTTGGTTAATTAATCTATTGCTAAGAAAATTAATATTTGACTGATAAGTATTAAGCAAAATTCATTTGTTTAATTAATTTATTATTAAAATAAGATATTCCACTAATATCCTTTACAATGCTTAAATTTTGATCAGCTTAGACTAAAAATAGAATTAATTAAAATTTAGTAATCATTAAAATAAATACTAAGCATTTTGATTCACTCAAATCAATCCACTTTCCAATCTTACTGCATCATAAATCATCGAATCCCCCACCACTAAAAATTTTATTAATCATATTATTAAATTATTTAAGTCTATTTAAATGATTAATCATTTTTTCTCATCATATAATCCCATCTGCCTAGCATTTCATGGTGTTTATACTCGCCAAAAAAATATTATTAATGTTGATGAATCATTTCTATCCTCCAAGTTAATCCATTTCCCAATTTTAATAATCTCAATTAATTCATCATACTATTCACCACCTCAAAAAAAGTTTATATTACATTTAATTATAAATTTATAAATATAAATTCTAATCAGTATTCCATCTTCCTACTTTTTTACCATTTTGATATACTTAATGATAAGCCATTTAATTCCATGAAAGAAATCCATCATCCAATTCAATCAATTTCCCAATCTTAATGCCATAGCTTTTCTAGAATAGAGAATTTCTAATCTATAAATGCCATCTACAAACTTTTTTACCATTTTTNTAATTTATTTGGTTTTGAGTGCCAATCATTATTTTCCAAAATAAAAGAAAAAAATATATGAAAAGTTATAGAAATCTACTGAAAAGTAATCATAATAAATGTATAGAATACAGATATATAAGATCAGAGACTATCTATTTAGACTTTAGGATAAGAAATTAAAATTAATCCTTCATTCCAATTATTGATTTAGAATAGTTAGAACATCGTTAAATTACCTTTATACATTTATAATATTAATTCTATATATGCTTTACTAATTAATAAATATAAACACAAAGAAATCAATTAAAAAAGAACTAATTAAATATTACTAATCAATACTTTCAGAATAAAATAGACTTATTTTATTAACTCATTTTGTCAACAATCTTATTTTTATCTATGTTATGATTATTTGATAAAATTGAATAATTTGATAAATATTTCTAAAACAATTCAAATAAATTTATTCCTGTTTGGATGGACAAATTAATTTGGTTAATTAATCTATTGCTAAGAAAATTAATATTTGACTGATAAGTATTAAGCAAAATTCATTTGTTTAATTAATTTATTATTAAAATAAGATATTCCACTAATATCCTTTACAATGCTTAAATTTTGATCAGCTTAGACTAAAAATAGAATTAATTAAAATTTAGTAATCATTAAAATAAATACTAAGCATTTTGATTCACTCAAATCAATCCACTTTCCAATCTTACTGCATCATAAATCATCGAATCCCCCACCACTAAAAATTTTATTAATCATATTATTAAATTATTTAAGTCTATTTAAATGATTAATCATTTTTTCTCATCATATAATCCCATCTGCCTAGCATTTCATGGTGTTTATACTCGCCAAAAAAATATTATTAATGTTGATGAATCATTTCTATCCTCCAAGTTAATCCATTTCCCAATTTTAATAATCTCAATTAATTCATCATACTATTCACCACCTCAAAAAAAGTTTATATTACATTTAATTATAAATTTATAAATATAAATTCTAATCAGTATTCCATCTTCCTACTTTTTTACCATTTTGATATACTTAATGATAAGCCATTTAATTCCATGAAAGAAATCCATCATCCAATTCAATCAATTTCCCAATCTTAATGCCATAGCTTTTCTAGAATAGAGAATTTCTAATCTATAAATGCCATCTACAAACTTTTTTACCATTTTTATATAATTTATTAACTTATCAAACTTAATATTTTTTTCAATCCATTTCCCAAATTTTATTGTCAATCCTTTAATCAACTTCATAATATAATCCCCCATCGCTGAAGGAGAAAATTGCTAAATTAATATTTTTACATATATTTTGCGATTTAAATCTTCTATTCTATCTATCAACTTTATTATTATTCTAATAATCACCCTTTTAAGTGATTTTACTTGAACTGATTAAATTATGAATAATTAAAAAATACTTCCTAAATCCTTCACTCAATTAAATCCATCTGGCTTTTTAATTCCACCATAAAATTAACAATCAAATTTGTCTTTAAATCAATTTATAAATTTGTTCAAATTTTTCCTTTCATTAAATTAATAAATATATATATTATATATCTCTTTTGTTATTCTCCCAGTAAGTATCCAATCTACCAATTTTTATGCCATTCTTTTATTCACCATAATAAATGATTAGACTCATACTAATCATAAAAATTGCTTATAATTTAATGTACTTTTTGAAGCTAATCATTAAGCTCATACCATACTTAAAACCAAAATGATTTTCAGCTTCTTTCTAATCATTCGTATTGTCCATCACCACTTAAATGTTTATACTTTGAAAAGTTATTGAACAGTTCAATCCATAATACTTGCTTTAATTAATTTTTATATAATTCTCCATCTCTATTATAATAAAATAATAAACATTTATTCTCATTTAAATATTCTCCACTTTAAATAAAATTTTTTATTCTTGGAGAAGTTTGAGAATAGTTGATGCCATTATCCTTATTTTGTCCATCTTCTAAGTATAATCTTATTATATTTGATTTAATTTTTTTCTTCTAAATGATCCTCATATACCAACTAAAGCTTCAACCAACCAAAATGCTTTTCTCGTTCCAATTTTTTATTAATTATTTTCATATTAATTTATCCATTTAATTGTTTTATATGTTCTATAGTAAGCATCTCATATTATTAGAGTTATTGATCTCTTATCTGCCTGCTTATTTTCATATTATATATATAAACTATTACATCCTCATTATTGATCCACTATCAGATATATAATATATTACGTTATTCTTAGGTTTAGTGTCAAAGAATTTAGTCCTCATAAATCTAATTTAAATAATATCCAAATGTACACATTTCTATTCTAATATCATTTCAATTATTAAATCAGATTAATTTTTTCTCGAGCAATCTATACAAGAATTACTGAAAATATTTCCCATTTTTTTAATAATATAAATAAGGTCAAATCTTAAAAATAGAGAATATTATTAGCAATTTTTTAATTTACAAGGGATTGTTGGAAAAAGAAAAATTTTGGAATTTGATTCCAAATATTTATAATAAAGCAAAAAGTGTCTATTTTAATATATTTATATGAAGAAAACCTAAGCCATCAAAATGTTATTAAAGTTTAAATAAAATTTTTATAAGTTTTTTATAAATTATTTTTAATACGTAATAAATTTGTGGATTAATTTATTTCTCAGTTTATTTCTTGTTCATTCTCAAACTTTTAAATATGATCTGAGTAGCTCATATTACAAAAAAAATAAAGTGAAATCAAAAGTGAATTTCAAATTTTTTGTTTTCACTTTTCACTTTTCTAATTTATCAAATAATAAATTATGATATAATTTCTTCTCACGGTCATTAGTGCAACCATATCGATCATAAGTTCTAAATGGGATTTTTTAAACAAATATATTCATATCTTCTATTTATCGAATAAAATAGAGAGCACAATTACAATATAGAAGATTCTAGAATATAAGCAAAGCCCTTAAACTAATATTTCTAAATTAAATTGGCAAACCATGATTTTATTGATCTATTATATGTTATCATAGGATTATATATATAAATAAAGGTCTCTTAACAATTATTTTATTCTCTAAATTTTATATTCTGAGTTAATTACATCATCAATTTTTTACTTATTTCTTTGGTTTATAAAATGATACTCTATGATATTTAGTGAATAATAAAACTAAAATCTATCCTAACATTACCAAAATCAAGTTAGAATGATAACTATATCTATCTATTGTTTCTTACTTATAGGAATAATTAAAAACGAAAAACCATGTCTAAGTCCATGTCAAACATGCAATGGAGGAAGTGGAACTTGTAAGACTTGCAAAACTGGATTTATTTTGAATGATAATAGTTGTATTTGCTAACCAGGATATTATACAATTGATTAAATTACATGTATTGAATGTCTTAAACCATGTGCAACTTGTTTAACAAATGGAGGAGGATGTTCCACTTGTTTAGATACATCAAACTAAATCGCTCCTAGTTGTTCATGCAAAGAAGGATATATCATGAACACTTCAACACATTATTGTTAAAATTGTCCAAACAATTGTAAAATCTGTAGTTCAACATCAGTATGTACTTAATGCCACAATAATTATTGGAATAATGGGGGTATATGTAGTCAATGTCTAAAACCCTGTATAAATTGTTCAAGTAATAGTAATTGTACTACTTGTATTGATACTTAACACTAAACACCACATCAATGTAAATGTGCAGAAGGTTATGTGATGAATACAGTAAGCTACATTTGTGATTTATGCTAATTCCCATGTAATACATGTTAAACTACAGTAAATCATTGTTTAACATGTGCTTCTACCTATACAATTAATTCTACTGATCATAAATGTTCTTGTTTAAATAATGAATTTGAATCAAATAGTACCCCTAAAACATGCTAAAGTTGTACTAGTCCATGTTAGACTTGTTCTACATCAGCCACTAATTGTACATCTTGTGTTGATGGATTAAATAGAAAATTAGAGAATACTTAATGTATATGTGAAGATGGTTATTATGAAAATATTACATGTTTATCATGTAAATTACCATGTATAAACTGTCTTTCAGAACTTGTATGTACATCATGCAAGGATCCAATTCATCAATCAGGACCCTAATGTGTATGTCCTGCAAAATATTATATGAATACATCTTTTAATTGTGAAAGTTGCATATCTCCTTGCTTAAATTGTATTTCAGAATTATAATGCATTTCATGTGAATAAAATTATTATATCACTGATCAAAATTGCATTAAATGTGAATTGCCATGTTATAATTGTGTTGATAATGCAACAAAATGCATTTCATGTGCATTTCCAAATTAAATAGTTTCAAATGATACATGTGTATGCAATGATGGATATTTCATGGATCCATTATTATTATCTTGCCAACCTTGCATTCATCCATGCAGTAAATGTTAAGATTATGGTAATTATTGTACTGATTGTGCAATAACATTTGTGATGAGTACTTCTATTCCAAATTCATGTGTATGTCCTAATTAAACTTATGAAGTATTAACTAGTATTCCAACAAATTGCCAATCATGTACATAACCATGTGATACATGTTCAGGAACAGGAAATCATTGTTTAACATGTATTGATATTAATTAAAGCGTTGACACATCATACTAATGTTAATGTAATTCTGGCTATACAATGATTGCAGTAAATTGTATAGTATGTCTTAGTCCTTGTTTATAATGTTTAGGGAATTCAAGTCATTGTACTTAATGTAAAGATCCATTACATTAAATATCTAATGGAGAATGTATATGCCCTTCTGGATATTTGAATGATAATGATTATAATTGTATACCTTGTTAACCTCCTTGTTCAACTTGTTCAGTAAATGATACTTATTGTGATAGTTGCATAGATTCTAATCATGAAATTAATGATACCTTTTAATGTATTTGTAAGGACACTTTTTATTCTGATACAATTAATACTTGTTAATAATGTATATAGCCTTGTTTTTTATGTGATCTTAATGGATGTTTAAGCTGTATAGATACTAATTAAATAATTGATTCATTTTAAAGATGTGTTTGTAAATAAGGATATTATGAAGTTGGAGTTAATTGTTCTTAATGTGTTGTTCCATGTTAAACATGTGAAATTAATTAAGATCACTGTTTATCATGTGTAGATGTAAATTAAAACTTAATCAATAATAATTGTATATGTAATGATGGATATTTTGAAATTAATCATTTATGTTAGCAATGTTAATATCCTTGTACAAAATGTGAATTTACTAATGATCATTGCCTTGAATGTTTAGATATAAATCATGATTTAATTAATAATAAATGTATATGTAAATTTGGATTTGGATCATCAGGGATTGATCTTTTATCTTGTTAACCTTGTGAGTATCCTTGTCTTGATTGTTCAACAAGTACAAGTACTTGTATATCTTGCACTGATAACAATATATATTATCTTGAAGATTATAAATGTTTATGCAAATAAGGTTATTTTTAGGTTTTAAATCAATGTATGAGTTGTTCACCTTAATGCTCTATTTGTGAAGAATAACCTGAAAAATGTTTGTCTTGTTCTGATCCAAATCACTATCTTGAATAAAATAACTGTATATGTAAATTAGGCTATTATTCAGATAACAATATGAAATGTTTTTAATGTTAACTTCCATGTGTTACATGTATTTCTAATTAAGATTATTGTACATCTTGTATTGATCAAGATAATCAATTTCTTAATGATGGGATATGCTAATGCAAGGAAGGATATTACATTAGTAATTTTAAATGTGAATTATGCACTTAATTTTGTAAAAAATGTAATTCAAATGATGAATGCATTTAATGTTAAGATGGTTATATATTATAAAATGCTTTATGTACAATACCTAAATGTATTGATAATTATTT